AAAAAAAAAAAAAAAAAAATCCGAAAATACATTAATATCGATATACGGCAAGGTCATTAATTTTGAATATTTTCAATGAAAATCTCGATTTCTTATGGAGGTATGTCATATCCTAAGAAATATTCGATATATTCGAAAATAAAAGGATTTTGTAAATAATTATTGATTTTAGTATTCTGATTTTATAGTATTAAGGATTTGCGAGCCTAGGAAATTATTGAGCTCGGAACGTTCAAGGGTCCAGGCTAGTAATATTCCTTTCCGAAAAGTTCTAAAATCTCGACCTACGAGATTTTAGAGTCCCTAAATTCATTTCAAAAATGAGCCGGAAAACCTAGGCTGCTCGCAAGCGAAATGACCGCAAGTGGCNNGTGGCCGCGCCGTAATATTGAGATAATTTCGTAATCGCTTACTTAAACTATTCTGAGCTAATACTCTTTTTTTCTCTCAGATTCATCGTATTTCAGATCAAAGGCACAATTTCTTCTCAATGCGCAGTTGGGCATTGCTGGCTAAAGGCGCAATTCGCGCCCATCGGCAGGCCAGCAGGGCGCCGGGCAAATCATGACGGCGATAACCCTTACCGATTTAACAGACCGTTCAAGCAACAGAATGATGAGAGCCTCCTTCCACAGCTGGCCACTGCAACCAGAGTGCAAACGCAGGCGTGCACAATGCAAGCCAGCAGGCTGTGCTGGGAGACCATGTCGGTGAACAGTAGCCCAAGAAGCATGAATGACGTAGCTACGAGGCACACCAGCGCGCTTTGAAGGTAGTTGCAAATCCCTGGATATCTTGCCACTGCGCAGGTATCGCAAAGGCAATATACAAGCTTGATTGTCGCAACCAGCCAGCAAAAAAAACACGCGTAAACCCAAGCCTGGGATTTCCAAATTATCTTGGAGAACTAGATCCTTTTTGTTTGGTTTTTGGGCTTTGTTAAGAAAACACGCGTAAACCCAAGCCTGGGATTTCCAAATTATCTTGGAGAACTAGATCCTTTTTGTTTGGTTTTTGGGCTTTGTTAAGAATTTTCCAAATTCAAAAATGTAGAAGACCGCCTCAAGACTTTAAACACTATAAAAAAAGCTAAACCGTGAAACGCACGAAAAGAAGGCCCACTGGAAGATCCAAAAGGCGATGAAGTTGGCAAGCACTGCTTCAGGTGGAGCTCCAGCAACCCAGCTGGACATGACCTACTTCTGCATAATTTATGCCGCCCGAAAAACTCGTAACCCAATATAGTATACTGGGAACATTTCATATTCGCTTTCAGGATCCACTCATGCCTAAACGCTAAACCCTAAACCCGCGCCTCTTCCATGCAGACGCAGATGATCCCAGTGAGACAAGGCAAGCAATAAACAACAGGAATATCCACAGCCCCGATGGACTTCCCACAGAGCTCCTGGAACCTTGCCAACTTTTGAAATTTTCAAGCCGTAGGATATTCTAGGGTCAGGCTCAAAGAAAAACTGCGTCAAAACTAATCACCGGAATCTGCCCCACGATCCCATATCCATTGCTACTTTGAACTCTATTCGGTTGTTTATAGATTTTAAGGAATGTTCTGTTTTGAAAAATGCGTTGAATTTTTTTGGGAAGCTCAAGCTTCTCGAGGCCTTGAAACCTGAACCTCAAACGTAAACCTAAAACTTCGAACCCTGGAATATAATTCTAAGCACGAGCACCGTAAAGTCTAAATTTAACCGTAAACTAACCCCAAGGCCAAGCAACAGCGGCCCCCGCACGAAGGCCTCAAAGTCCTGAATGCTTCCGTACCAAGTCCTTGGTTGCTGCGTAGCTGCTCAGGAACTGAAACCCTTTGTACGAAATAAGTGGCGGGGTTTAGGGATTGAGGGTTCAGAGTTTCGTGAAGGTTTTGGAGATGCTATAGAACAATTTCACCATTCCAACCTGGCGGGTACTCCTTCGCAAAACTCCGGATGTGGAACTGCCCTCCCACAAGCAAGTACGTCCCATGTAAACTTGCAATTGCACGGCCAATAGCCAAGTCAGCTAACTGCGATGCAATAACATCGTCCCCAGTCTGCAGCTTTCAAATTTCTTCTGCAGCTCTGCAATGATCAATGGCGTAGCGGAAAGCCTACAGTTGACTAGCGTTCTGGGGTTACCTTGAGCCAAAGATCCATGAAACTCCATACAATGCAACCCACACATCATCCGTGCATTCTTCATACCTTCGGCCGGCAAACTGCTTCCACCTATTTACTGCTTCTACGGACTTGGTCAGGGCTCATTGGTGTGTGTGTGGGAACTCTGCATCCAAGAGTAAAAGGTAAGGGATTGGAATTCGCTTTTACTAATGCAATTCATTGAAGGAATGGCAACAGGCATTGACCTGAAGTGTGTGTGTGTGTGTGAACCACCCTAGTTCATGGGCGCAGGGGTCACTCCCAAGAGGGTTTTAG